ACTTAGGGGCATACTTCCTCTGCACTTTTAGAAAGTGAGTACAGTTATATACTGATGGTAATGAGAGGCCCTACTCTGGAACACCCAGGATCGTTTGAACCAATCTTGGACTGCTGCAATGTTCTTATGAGACCATCAGAAATTGTCTCCCAGAAAGCCTCCACTCAATGGCTCTCTCCAGGTCACAGGTTAGGGCGCTGGGACAAAGCCAGGCCACAGCAGAGTTCACTTGTCGTTGCTGTTGTTAGGTGTCGTTGAGTGGAACTGCCCCATAGGATTTTCTAGGCTGTAATCTTTACAAAAACAGATCCCCAGGTGGAGCCACTGGGTGGATTCAAACTGCCAACCTGTCGGTTAGCAGCCAAGCGCTTCACCGTTAAAGACCCTTTAATCACAACTACCACAGAAAGCAAGCCCTGCCCCATGTCCGCTCGCAAGAACCAATATAGACCATCAAGAGTAGCAGCCAGTTTCTCAAGATGCTGAAAGTAAAATAGTTCCTCAGATTATAATTAATCCTGACACAATCACAACTTTAACTTCAGAAGTGAAAAAGGTCACCCTAATTTTTTTAAAGAACACACTTACTTGTCAATACTGGATTTTGTGTCAGCAATCTTGTTGAGGCTGGATATCTTGAATCCATACGCGTTGCCTCTTTGGCCTTTATTCATATAATTCCCAAATGCCAAAACCACTTCTAGCAACTGCCTCAGGGCACTGCTCCTAAACACCTCTTCTGAGCCAGAACGAATTGCTTCAAAACAAAACAAAATACACAAAAATACAACAATCACAACCAAGACTTTTCAGTGATATCCATCCTAAACTCCCACACCTAAGAACAGATATCGAAGAGGTAAGATTGGGCCATCAGACTACCGAGGAACACTTTCGAAACACCTAAACTAGAGGTAAAGAACAAGGGGGCAGGTAGGGCCAGCTAAAGTTGTTAGAGTTAACGATAGACGGCTGCAAAATTCTACCATTATTCAGTCCTCTTCCTGGCAGATTCGTCAGTCTTAAGCATTTAGTAACACATACAACAATGATTGCATTTCTCACATTCTGTTGCAAACACTTACTTGCCTGGCTTGAGTCAGATCAACAGGATTACTGATCAAGTCCACTGACAGAAAAAATGGCCAAATTTGTTACAAGAGACAGCTTGCAAGTGTCATACAGTGATCAGGGCCCCAAGGGTTCCCAGGTTCCAACCCATGCTTTGTGGCTGTGTTCTTCAGTTGCTTTGTCCACATTTCAAACATTTAAAAATTTAAAAGCCTCAAAACCAAACCATATTAACAGCCTGAATCTTCCCTTAGAAAAATCTAGTAAGACCCCATGGCAATAAAGCTAATTACAGGTTTAATGTTAGTATAGGTCAAACTAATTCCTCACCAACTGCCAATACAGTAAAAAGTGTAACATTGAGGAGGAGCCCAGAAGGTGTGTTATAAGCTCCAGAGCTCAGGCCAGACCAGAATGCTAAGGGCTGATCTTAAGTAGTTTTCCATCAGAATTTCAAAAGCTCTCAAGTAAAAAAATCACCAAAAGGATCATGTTTACTATATGCACTCAGATTGCACCTGCAAGGTGGCACTTAAAACCAACATCATTTCCAACCTAGGCAGCTTGACTTTACCTTCCACTTTAGGTTTAACTTCTGCAACGCGTTCTGCAAACTTCTTTTTGAAGTACAGTGATTGCAACCTTTGCTGATAATGATTGATTCTGTAAGAGCAAGCACAGATACTTATTGTTCATTTAATATAGACGTAGCGATACGGAGGTAGAGACACCTCTGTCAGCTCCTCCCCAGGCCCCCCCCCCCCACAGCTCTCATCCCACAGGTGCTCAGAGTACTCAGCCAACTTTGCCTGGAGAGCCATTTCCGTCTGACCGCCAGGGGAATTCAGACGAGCCCTTAGCTCCCAACCAAATAAGGTAACTAATGAAAGAAAGTGAGAGCTGGCTGCTGTTAGCTGAAGTCCGCTTTCCTCCCTCAGAGTCCCAGCACCTCTTTTGAACACAGATGAGATCAAAGGAATGAAAATATAGAGATTCTTCATTCTGCTTCTAATAAAGGACACTTTCCTACACTTCCCCCCTGCTTCTTAACACGGCAAAGTTTTGCCTTGGCTAAACTGTAAAGTCAAACTTGTCTCTAGCATCCAGAGTCTCCTCATCAGCATCATTCTCAAATCTTCCCCTTTCTTTATAGTTATCTTCCTATTTCCTCTCCTAAGGGTGCCCACACTCTGCCTTTCAAGACAGCAACTAGCAACTAGAGATAACTGGGACCCACACTGTCCTCTGATGACCACCAAGACAAGCTGCTCCATGTTGCGGAGAGGGTCTGGTGGGCCTTCTCATTCAAGCCTTCCGAAACCAGTGTCTAACCTGTCCTATGGTGGAGGTTTCAGTCCAGTAGGTCTAGGGGTCAGCCATTCTTGAAGACCTAATACCACCATCAGACAGATCTGGTATAAGAGCCCAGATTCTCCTCTCATTAGGTGACCCTGAGCTGGTACCTTAATTGCTCTGAGTTTCATTTTCCTTGTCTATAGAATGAAAAGAATACTTTCCTACCTAACAATCTACCTGGCAACATGGCTAAGAGGATTAAATGGGACGATATATGCAAAGATCTAGACATTTAATAAGTGGCAACTGCAGCAAGTGGCCATCTATTTGTGTACGCATAGGGTTGCTTGGTGCACATTTCAAAATTTCAAAAACATCCTTTGTCCTACAGTAGTATATACAATTGCAATAAAAAAATAAGTCTGGACATGGAAAAAATGAAGGGAGAGTCATGTTCACCTAAGCTTCATTTGTAGGTCTTTGGCACTCAGGAGAAGAATTTTGCTCTGAGGTTAACTGAGAGTTTCAGGACCATTGGTCCTTCTCTAATGCAGAATCAATTTGGTAGGTCTAGAATGGCAAACAGACTCAACTCTCATGCCAAATCCAATTATTAAGCAGTGGCTGCCTGCAGAGCTTTCTGGAGAAAGGCTCAGAAGCTTGCCAAGGCTCCAGGAGGCAGAGTGCCATGATCAGTTAGTGATGTCTGCCAGTGTCATGATTTGACACCCTGCCTGCAGCTGTTCAGTGATGTGGGCTCTGAAGTTGACATCGCTTGAGTCCATCTTTTTTTTTTTTTTCTGTTTTACAACAATCTTGAGATGCCGAGGTACTAGGAGATGTGAGAAATCCCAAGAAGTCAAAGTGGTGAGGAGAATAACGCTGACGGGAACCAGAGAAAAGTTATGTGTTGATGAGGCCAAATCACATGAGCCTAAGAAGTTCAGAGATGGAGATAATTGTGAAGAAACCATGACTGGCTCACCCATGGGCAAAGACTCATATAAACAAAACAATCAAATTCCACACAGCTCAGACTTGAAAAGAATTTAGAATCTTGTTGTTGGTTGGTGTTGAGTCAATTCCAACTCATGACAACCCCATGTGTGCAAAGTAGAACTGCACTCTGTAGGGTTTTCAAGGCTGTCACCTTTCAGAAGCAGATCTTCAGGCCTTACTTCCAAGGCGCCTCTGGGTGGGTTAGAACTGCTTTTTGATTAATAATCCAGTGCTTAACCATTTGCATCACCTACGGACTCCTTTGGAAACCTGGTAGTGTAGTGGTTAAGTGCTAACCAAAAGGTCGGCAGTTTGAATCCACAGGTGCTCCTTGGAAACTCTATGGGGCAGTTCTACTCTTTCCTGTAGGGTCACTATCAGTTGGAATTGACTCAACAGCAATGGATTTGGTTTTGGTTTCAGGGACTCCTTTTTGAATCTTAAAAGTCTGCAAGTTAAGCCAGGTTAATTGGCCTAAACATTCCCTTAAATTGAAAGTTAATTTCCTTAGACAGGTTAAGTGGCATTTTTAAACTCACCGGCTCATCTCAAAAAGGAATCTATCAGCCTTGGCCATCCGATCCAGTTCATGTTTATGTTCCTCTAAGAGGTCAATGTCACTTTTTTCAGGAACAAATTTCAAGAGCTAAAAAGTACACACAAATATTAAAACTGAGGTTTTTAATTTAAATTCCTGCAGTAATTTTTCACCCTTTCAGTTAATTTGTCCAAGATGAAATTTTAACTTTTGTTTAATTTATAAGCTCAGCTCACAGGTGATTGTTAAGATGTGATAGAAATGATTAAAGGTTTTCATTTTTACCTGAAAATAGCTAAAACGATGTAAGGTTCATTCCTGACCCCTTTCTATGGGACACTGCCTCTCAAATCAGAATTATGCAAGTTCATTACCAGGACACACTTTGCCTAGACCATTAGGCCTTAGAGATAATTTAGTTCAACCCTCTCATTCTAGAAGATGAAACTGAGGTCCAGAGATATTAAGCAGCTTGCTCAGGATTACAAAGCAAGTTCACGTAATCATCAGAAATAGAACCTAGGTCTCTAGACTCCCAGCTCTGCTTTTTTCTATTACATCATGCTGGAATGAGTAATTCTATGTGTATTTTCTATTCGATTTGTGTATTTGTCCATCTTATCTGTTTCCATCCCCACCCCCACCCCACCCCCGTTGTTCCATAGAGTAGGATGACAGGGATTTGAAGTTTTTTTTTAGAAACCAAAAAAAAAAAAGGCTTTATTGAGAAGCAGTAGACAGACTGAAATGACTGCATGCCAATTTCGACATATCATCCAAGAGTTTGCTTCCATTTAAATGTACCTTGTTCTTTTCCTCAGACCTCTAACCTCAGACTGGGGCTGAGTAGATACATAGCTTCCAGTCTCCCTCAAATCATTGCTAGGGCCCCAGGCAAGATGCTGCACCTTTTAGCCAACAAACAGCTCACTGCTAGCAGTACCTCTTAACTCTGGGGGCTTTTCACTGGTATCCATGTTCGAGCTGCTTCTAAACCAGAAAATCATTTTAATCAGGGAAGTATCCAAAACACGAAAAGATATTCTAGTTAAAGGGCATGTGAAGAAAAGCTCAGGGAATATTGTCGGCACTTGCTGTATCTCAGACAGTTCCTTATGGAACAAGTTTTCATCCTCTCTCCGGGTTAGCCCCAGTGGGTTCACCATTACTGGCTCTGAGGTTAGAACAAGGAGTAAGACAGGATGTTTGCTTTCCTCATTGGTAGAGTTTGAAGTTTATGATTCCATATTTTATTGTGCATGAAATGTAGAAGAAATGGCAATAATATTTAAAGTTGAAAAAGTACTTCTGCATATGTATGATTTCCTTTGAAGGTATAAACCTGCGCATGTGTATGCACATGCCTGTGCCTCATGCTATTTTCCAAATCAGATACCCTTGGGTTTTTTTTTTTTTTAAATTTAAACACGGTGACCCCCTGAACTCTGAGGTTCTCCCCATAACATGATGCTAGCAATGGGTAGTCCATTTTGTAGGTTTGCAAATGTTTCCTGGATTTAACTGAGGGAACATAGAAGATCTAAGGCAGTTAATCTGGGTGCCACCAGCAGAGAAAGAGAAGTGGAATTACAGGGAAGGAGGTGAGTGGTAAGAAGCTGGAAATATGTTCCAAGGAGAGTGCATTATTGTGAACCAGGGCCTGGACTGCACAGCACAGCACAGCATTTAGGCAGGTGAAAGAATGGCTATAACAGAGACTGGGGAGGGGGGCCAGGTGAGGTCAGGGGGTAGCAAGAAATGAGGCAGGAAAAGCAGACAAGGGCCTTATAAGAAGTTTAGACTTTATTTGGCGGGGGGGGGGGGGGTTGGCACTGGGATGTAACAGGAAACCCTGTGGTGTAGTGGTTAACAGCTACGGCTGCTAACCAAAAAAGGTCGGCAGTTCGAATCCACCAGGCGCTCCTTGGAAACCCTGTGAGACACTTCTACTTTGTCCTACAGGGTCGCTATGAGTCGGAATCAACTCAATGGCAATGGGTTTGTTTTTTTTTTTGTTTGTTTGGGATATAACAGGAGCCCTGGTGACACAGTGATTAAGAGCTCGTCTGCTAACCAAAAGGTCGATAGTTTGAATCCACCAGCTGCTCTTTGGAAACCCTATGGGGTGGTTCTACTCTGTCCTGTAAGGTTGCTATGAGTTGGAATCGACTCAATAGCAATGGATTTGGTTTGGTTTTTGGGATATAACAAAGATTTTAAGTAGGGGAATGAGTTTGCATTTTAAAAAAATTATCATACTTAAAAAATGGAGAAAGAACTAGAAAGGATCGAAAATGTTAAGGGGTGTGATTAGGCAATTACTGCAATAATCCAGATGAGAAATAACAGTGGCCTGGACTGGCTGGGGGCAGTGGAGAGATTCTAGAGCCATTTAAAACCAGTTGCTGTTGGGTTGACTTCGACTCATGGTGATCCCCTGTGTGTCAAAGTAGAACTGTTCTCCACAGGGTTCACAAGTAGGTCATCAGGCTTTTCTTCTGAGGCTCCTCTGGGTGGACTTGAACTTTCAAATCTTTTGATTATCAGCGGAGTATGTTAATTGTTTGCATCACCTGGCCTGACTTGGTGCATTGATTGTGGTGGGCAAGGAAGAAGGAGTCAAGGACGAGGTCTGGGCTTCTGGCTTAGGCAACAAAGTACCCAGAACGTAATACGGAACTGAGGAAGGAATGATTGGAGGTGTGGTGAAGTGGGGAGAAAGGGAGTGTATTGTTTAAAATACTAGCAAGAGAACCAAGTAGTGATTTCTAGTAAAGGTAGCTGGATAAATGGGTCTGAAATCCTAAAGAGATCTGTATGGAAGACTATGCCATTAGTGTTGGCTGTGAAAGGCAGGTTACTGAATGCATGGATGTAAGATAATCCGGGGAATTGTCAAAAGAGGAACAGCAGGGCCAGCAGAGAACCCAGCATTTAAGAAGGGAAACAAGGAGAAGAGAAACCTTAAAAAGAAGCAACGAAGGGGTACCAGAGAGGCCTGTATGGAATCACAGGGCCAAGGGAAGACAGCGTTTCATCATGGGAAGTAGTCAACAGTGTCAACCACCACCAAAAAATCAAGGAAGATAAGGATGGCAAAGTGTCTGCTGGCTTTGGCAACAAGGAGTCGTGAGTGTCCTTAGTGAAAGCAACTTTTGGGAGGTGATGAAGACAGACTGTTGTGGGGTGAAGAACAGTGAGCAGGAGGTGAGTGTGGACAAGCTTTCAAGAACTTTGCCTGTGTCACTAAAGAGAGAGAAGTAGCTAGATGGAGATACTGAGTCTGAGGTGTGTGTGTGTGTGTGTGTGCGCGCGCGCGCACAGGCACACATACGCACACTTTAAAGGCTCATACGTGAACAAGTTAAGTATTGAAAGAGAGAAACTGCACAAGAAGGAGAGGCTGAAGATCCAAAGGAGAGGGGACACTCATTTGGCTGGGTCCCTGAGAGATATAAGGCATGGGGCCAGAGCAGAGGCAGGGGACAGTCTCTCTTTCCTAAAGGGATGGAAGGGTGGAGGAAAACAGAAGTGGATGCTAGAGATTTCATAGGTCTGGTGGCAGGAAACCGTGGGAGTTCCAGCCTGACAGAATCTAGGCATTTATGTTCCTGTGTTCAAATGGTGACAGAGGACAGGACATACATGTTTCTGCTCCTCCTCAATGAGGGGAGGGATGATAGTAGGGCAAGGAAAATGGAAGAGTAAGAGAGAAGGTGGGAAAAAGGGCTTTTTTCTTTGTTTAGTTTAAATTTTTACCTATTGGGCAAGAAAATCCATTCTGGTCACAGGGATTCTTTCACAGATTTGCAAACTTCCCCCAGCACCCCCTCCTATCTCCACCTTAACTAGCTGTGCTGAGCCCATGGGTAACAGAATACTACAATCAGATAGTTTTAAGAGACAAATGAAGACTTACGCAAACACTGGGGAATAAGGAGAAAGGTACACATTCAAAACCAGAGTAGTGTGTTGATCTCATCTGAGGAGAACAACAACAAAAACAAACAAACAAACTAAACTCGTTGCCATTGGGTCAATTCTGACTCATGGCAAGCCCATGTCCAACAGAGTAGAACTGGTCCATAGAATTTTCAATGGCTGTAATCTTATAGAAGTAGATCACCAGGCCTTTCTTCTGTGGTGCCACTGGGTGGATTTGAACTGCCAAGCTTTCGGTTAGTAGCCGAGGGGCAAACCCTTTGTGCCACCCAGGGACCTTGTGGGGGACAACAACAGCAGCTAAAAAGAGTAGGAAAGAAGGGAATGAATATGGCCCAAAAGCAAACCACTAATAGGAGTAAGGATGATGCTAGCTTCGATGTTTGTCTGGAAAGAGTGTTGTATAAAGGAAACAGGACCAGAGGAAGAACAGTAAAATGAGGAGGGAAAGAAAGAGTGTGGGAGATAATCAAAGAGCAAAACAGAATTATCAGGAAAGACCTGGTCAAAAATATCCTTCTTGGCAAGAGTTAGCTTCAGTAGACCGTTTTCTTATGTGTATTTATTTGAAGTAGATTCTATTTGCACTAGAAGCCCTTTTGGCAGGATTTTGAAATCCATTCCCACAAGGAGGAATTTTGCTGGATGCAGTTTCACAGTAAACAGATCACATGTAATTTAAACATAGGACCTCGTCCATAGGGGCTGAAGGCCTAAGGACTATAAAGCAGCTTCATGCTTAGTTCTTCACTCTGGGCAAGCATCATCTACTCCAGCAACTAGGATGTGGGTCACCTGTGAGCCAGAGAGTGGCGAAGGGCAGCAAGGTGCCACAATTTCAGGGTAGACACCTGTTTTGACTGGTATACAGTGAAGGAAGGGAGCATGTGTGAAGGAACTGTGAAACACTCTAAAAAATGTTTAGGTTTGTTTAAGAATTACTTTTAAAGTACTCACATACACGGCATCTGAATTTGAAACATAGCATTAACTATTTTGAAAATTAAGTCAAACTTTTAAAGGACAACATGAAAACATTTCCCACTGCTGAGTGTCAGGGTTTTCACCCAGGACGATCCCAGCTGCAGAGGTTTCAGGGAGGAGCAGATCCATTTGAGGTGTAGTGACTGTGCACACAACACATCACTCCTTCCTGCTTTGTGTGTGAGGCCCTTTAGGAGAGTGAGAACCATGGAAAATACACAGGCTGACGAGTAGCACTCCACCCACAGAAGCCTCTCCACCAAGATCACTGTCAGCAGTGCAAAATATCCCTTTACACTGCTCTTGGGAGCTGAGCATACCCACGTTCACCAATCAGGACAAGGAGCTGAAGCACACCTACAGACGAGACCCTGAGTTCAGCCAGAACTGTGATCACTTATGGCCATTGTTAGTCCCAAGTGGACCTGAGTCTCACCAACACAGACCTCTTGATAAGAACCGCTCAGAATATGATTCAGTCCCCAGGACAACGGGACAGAAAGGGCAGTATTAGAACATTCAGAGAGGCCCACCACAAAGTACATAAGGATTTAGATCCAGACCAAGAGGTGGGGAAGCAGCAACAGTCATAATCCCCAGAATATCTGCAACTTCAGCAACATTGTAATTTAGGGGACAGCAGAACAAAGCTGCTGAACCACACATGACACAGCCAGAGTGGCTAACGAGAGCATATTGTAGAAGTACTGCCAGAAGAGAGACCAGGCCACCACATTAAACTTGATGCCTTGCCACGGATAATAGCAAGTATGTCCACATACCACAAACAAGGCTGTGTACTGACTGTGGGTGAAACTGCCTACTTGGTAGCCCTGGCATTTGAATGTATTGGCATTTACGACACAAGAGGGTGCCATACAAATTACAGACACAAGGCTTAGCCCCAAGAAATTTACAACCTGCCTTCCCTTATCTCACATACCAGGATTTAGATGTACAGGACAGCGTGGCGGGTGGGGGAGTGGTGGAGGGGTGGTTAACAGGGGCTTTGTGGTTGTGGGAATGGTGAGCCAAGACACCATTCTTGGTGTATTAAGAATGTAGTAACGAATCAACTGATGTAGTATAGTCTGTGATCTCATAGTGCTAGTGAAATTCTAGATATTCCTGGGAAATGTAGTTTCCTACTAAAGCTTGTAGAGTTATACGGTCTACTGAAGCAAATGCAAAAGGTCATTTAAAAGACAGGAACGAAAGAAAAGACCAAAATGGATGTCAGAAGAGACTCTGAAACTTGCTCTTAAATGTAGAGTAGCTAAAGCAAATGGAAGAAATGA